TTTTTTTTTTTTTTTTTTTTTTTTTTTTCTTCTTCTTCTTCTTCTTCTTCTTCTTCTTCTTCTTCTTCTTCTTCTTCTTCTTCTTCTTCCCATATCCAACGACAGATTAGACTTAGAGATTTTTGTTTTTTGTTTTGCATCTCCAATCCTCCTCTCCCTCCTCCTCCTCCTCTTCCTCCTCCTCTTCCTCCTCCTCCTCCTCCTCCTCTTCTTCTTCTTTTTCTTCTTCTTTTTCTTCTTCTTTTTCTTTTTCTTCTTCTTCTTCTTCTTCTTCTTCTTCTTACTCCCCATCCTCTCCTTTGCCCCCAAGCATGTCATATCCAATGTTAGATTAGTCATAGACTCGTAGCGTTTTTTCTTTTTTTTTGCATCATCAATCCTCCTCCTCCTCCTCTTTTTGTCTTCTTCTTCTTCTTCTTCTCGATCTTCAATCCTCCTCCTCCCGGGCAACAGTACGGCGGGTGGCAGTGGTGGCGGTGTTAGAGCAATCACGCTCAGGAAGGGCAAAGACCAAGTGCAGGATGCTGCTGACAAACCCTCCTCAAGCAAAGCAGCGAAGTCAACCACGAATGTCGTGAACAAGGAGAAAACGCCGGGTACTGACCCTCGCCTGTTTTAACCCAAGGACAGCAAGGAACACTTGAAACTGCAGAAGAAGAATGTTGTGTGGGAGTGGGTCGAACAGGGACAACAGGCAATGCCACTTGGCCCCGGCGAGTATTGGCTGAGGTGTCGGCTGTGCTCGAAGATTTTCAGGGGCTCATCATCGAAGGCGGTTGATCATTTCCTGAAACCAGGGAAGCCATGTGTCTCGCGGACCGGAGAGATCGTCGACGCGCTAGTCTCGAAGGGCGCCAAGGTTAACCCCAACGACAAGAATACTCGGTACTTGCTGCAAAACTTTCGAGGACTTGTACCCGAGGGGGGTGGATCTCATGCTGAGGATCCTATGTCAGAGGCGGTGCCACCTACTATTCTGGGCCTGTCGCCTACACGACTTGCTGCGCGGACAGGTGCAGCAGCTATATATAATGAGGGCGGGGCGGAGGGGGGTGCAAACACCGGTGAAGGGCAGGACAACAATCAGCGGATGGTGGTGAAGAAGCAAACCACAATCAGGAAGTGGATCGACAATGCTGCCCAGAAGAAGTTGGACATTGCTTGGGCGGAGGCAATGTTCAGGGCAGGCATTGCTTTCAACTTCCTGAACTTCGACACGACGCAGACTCTTCATGATGCGTACTTGGAAGTTGTCAATGCAAGGTCGAAAATAAAGCTGCATACTTACAAGCACATGCGGACGGTGATGTTGGATTACGTGTACTTGAAGGTTGAGAAAGCAATCAAGCCCATGACTGTGTGTTGGGACAAAACTGGTTGCACGTTCATCACAGATAGATTGACTGATTGCAAGAACAGACCGGTGATGAAGTTCTTGGCAGCAGGGGAGAGAGGAGTCGTTCTTGTGACCACGGTTCACATGACAGGGAGGAAGAAGAACGCGGCAGCATTAACGAAGCTATGGGAGCAGGTCATGCGCGGGATCGGGCTGCATCACCATTTGCACCGACAACACGGAGGTCAACAAGAAGGCGGCCAAGATCTTGGAGAGGCGGACAGATAAAGATGTCGCGAGAATACCTTGGGTTCCTTGTGAAGCGCACTGTTGCAGCTTGTTGTTGAAGGACTTGTCGAATCTCGCATGAGTGAGAGACACCGTAAAGATGGTGAACACCATCGTCAAGTTCATAAAGAACCATCATGCAACCAATGGTCTGATGAGGATCATTGATGACTCCTTGACATTGTTGCGACCGACTGAGGTCCTGTTTGGGTCAGTGTGCCAGATGTTGCAGAGGGTATTGAACAGGGAACATATGTTTGACTGAGACGGTGGATGGGAAGTTTGCTGCGAGGTGGAGGTCGTTGAGATGGTTAGGAGAGAAGTTGCAAAGAAAGGCTGACCTTGTGTACTTCACACTGCGGTCCGAGACTTGGTGGGCGGAGGTGAAGAAAATTGTGGCAATCATAGAGCCGGTGTACAGTCTGCTGAAAAGGATGGACAAGAAAGGAGTCAGTCCCACCAACCTCATAAAGTTCGATGATATGATTGCAAGAAAATTGTCAAATGTCAAGCTCACGAAGACGGAGAGGGAGGACGTTATGGCTAAGGTGACCGATAGCGTGGAGATGATGAGACAACCCGCACACCCAGATGCCTTTCTTCTTGATCCCCGAAGGAGAAACCCCGGTTGGTTGAACGATCCGGAGAAGTCCTCGTGCAAAATGCTATGCGTTTCTTGATGAGGCAGATTGGACACGAGTGGAATTCGAAGAAGCACGTTGATATGTGGGATCAACTGTGGGAGTTCTTGAGAGAGTCTGTGGAAGGGGAAGTCCGAAACGATGAGAACATGTGGACAGATCGTGCAAGGGAAGGAGCAACAAAACGTGCACCTCAAGACTGGTGGAGATTACACGGTGGAGATGTCCGGGACTTGCAGAAGATTGTCATGAGAGTGTTGGCAATGTGGAGCACAGCCACACCTGCAGAGCGCAATTGGGCATCGATGATATTACCAATAATAAGATTGAGGTCCAGTGCCCAAGGCTGATATTACCAATAATAAGATTGAGGTCGGGGTGCTCACAGTCTGCCCGGAATGGATATACGAAAACCGCAAATGATGACCATGATGGTACTAATGACACTGATTAATAATGCTAATGAGAACGATGATTCAAAAATATGAAAAATTAAAGAAAAATATGTTATATCACCTATTCTAGCCTCCTAATCCTCGAACAACTCCCAGCCCTCCCTATACTTGGACACTGTACCTCAAAGACAAAACCACCTAACTAATTATCAACCATAGCTGATCTCTTCTCGCTTCATTGCAGCCCCCCCCGGTGTCGGTACTGGTGAGTCCCGAATAACTTCCCATCACTCGAGAGACCGAATATGGACGAACTGTGCACAACAGAGAAATCCAGAGTGAGACGAGAGAAAGGATTAGGCCGTAGGAGGGAGTAATACCCTGGGGCGAGAACCACCGGGGGAAAGAACTAAGCGGCAGCAAGCGAGCGAGCGCAAGAACAGGGGCACGAAGAACATAGCAGGAGGTCGGGAGGGCTGTCGGAATGCAATAAGACTAAGGCCAAAGGGCCCCTTGAACCAGCAAATGCAGCACGACACAATAAAGAAATGAGGAAGTCGAGGGATGGGCGGCCCATTGGCCGCTGGAAGCCACAAAATGGGGGGCCGACGTAGAGGCCACCTACGGGAGCCTCGGAGCGGAGGCCCACGGCCAAAGAGATCGGCGCACACAAAGCGCGATGAAAGACTAAGGAGAGGGGTCGCTATGGGGTGACATGTTGCCCAAGGGGCATGGGACACCTCGGGAAAAGGCACCCGGGGCCACATGGGACTAAGTAAAAATAATGGCATCCGGGGCCAAATGTGCCGAGGACCGCAGACGGGACTAAGTGTCGGGGACCGCCAACGGGATTAAGTGTCGGGGACCACCGGCGGGACTAAGTATCGGGGACCACCGGCGGGACTAAGTGTCGGGGACCACCGACGGGACTAAGTGTCGGGGACCACCGGCGGGACTAAGTGGCGGGGACCATCGACGGGATAAGTGGCGGGGACATGTGAAAGTCCCAAGAAGAAACGGCGGCACCGCATGAGGGAAAATAATAAATGCAAGGTGCACCGTCGAGATCGACATCTTGACGGCCAAGAATATTAGCACCACTAGTGCAAGCACTAGTGGTGACAAACGGGAAGGCAAAAAGGAAAAGAAAAAGTAAAGGAAACTGAAGTTGGAAGCATAGGAGCAATCCAAAAAATCTCGGATTAGCCTTCCCTAGGAAAATGGAGTCAAAAGAGGCCCTATGTGAAAAATAGCCCTCCGGGAGAAAATCGGAGTAGGAGGGGCCACTATGGGAGAAATGTAGGTCAAAACTAAGAGGAAGAGACTAGAAAAGGGCCTTAACGGCCACTTGACACTTGGCATGCTAGAAAAAAGAGAGAAAATAAAAGAGAATGTGGGAGAATAAGACAAAAAAAGTGAGAGGGAGGGAGTGAGTTGGCCGTCAGTAGGGACTGCCACAGGTAGGGACTGGGAGGTCCCTACTGTCCAAGAAAGCAGGAAAGAAAAGAAAAGAGAAAAAAGTCTTAACGGTAAAAAACGGTCACTTAGGGGATTCATCTGTGACCAGATTCATTCTGGAATATGGCGGTTACAAAGGACTTTGATTTTCTTTGATTTTTGCAAAGAAAATCAAAGAAAATTAAGGCCTCTTGCAACCGGAATAAAACGGATTACATGCATGAGGAGAAACACATGTTTTAGGTGCATCCGCAACCAAAATCAAGCCCGGATGCACTTGGGAATTGCCCGTTTCTTTTTCTTTTGAGTAAGGGCTAGTTGGAGGGCATTGGGGCTAAGGAATTGACCCCCATTGCAGTCCAAGTTGCAACGGACTGCATGGTGGAGAAAAAACACATATTCTAGGTGCATCCGGAGCCAAAATTGAGCTCGGATGCACTTAAAAATTTAACGTTTCATTTTCTTTTAACATAGGGCAAGTTGTGGGGCTATGGGTGTAGAAAACAGCCATGAATGCAAACCGAGAAATTACGGACTGCATGGGGATGCCAAGGCTAAGGGGAAATGGGCTACGGCAAGCCGGGAAGGCTAAAAATGAGCAATTTCGGCATAGGGCAAGTAAAGACGATAAACGGCAACCGTAAGATGAGATCTCACGGTCTAGAAAAATCGGTACACATGTACGAATGATGGGACCACCAGCACCACTAGTGCAAGAGGGAGCAAGTGGGAGAGCCATGAGAGAAAGAAAAGTAAAATAAGGATGTTGAGAAGGCTGCCCAGTAGTCCGGGATATCTCGGACTAGCTAGGCATAAGAAAATAGAGCCTTGAGAGGCACGACATGAGAAAAAGACTGCCCTTAGAAAATCGGAGCAAAAGGGGCTCCAAATTGGGCAAACGGGAGCAAAATGGAGCCCCCTAGGAGCATGGGGGTGCCATTGGTGGAATCCGAGATGTAACGGCCAAGTAACAGCCATGAACCTGGCCTTGAAGGAGGCCCTAGGGCCTAGAAAGAGGGTGCACAGCAGTTTGACACTTGTCACAACTGAAATAAAAGAAAAAGAAAAAAAAATGAGAGAAAAAGGAGGGAGAATGAGACAAAAAGGGAGAAAAGAGTGGAGGAGAGTGTGCCAACTTATTAGGATCTGCACAGTAGGGACTCGCAGGTCTCAACTGTGACCTCATCCCTCCTAGAATGAGGGAGGGCAATCCGGATTGAAGAGATATGGCCCCATATCTCAATAAAACCTGAATTAAAAAACAGAAAATGAGAGAAAAGGCAAAAAGGAAGTGACCGGTTTTCTTTTTGACGATGGATCTGAGATCAGATCTCATGGTGGAAAGGAACTAGCCGTTTTTTGTGGGCCAGCTCAAAACGGCTAGCTCCGAAATGAGGTGGCAGCCCAAAATGGAAAGAAACAAAAGAGGGAAAAAAACGAAACTGTGCATTTGGCCCAAAAAGAGAGTCAGGTCCACAAAAAATTGAAAAAGTAGACTTAGGGGCTCAAAATTGAAGCAAGGGCTACTAGGGGGTAGCACAGATTATTGCTGGCCTTGGATCTCAGCCAGATCCAAGGCTGAAAATGTGCCGCCACATAGAAAAATGCTCCGGCCTACTCAAGGGAGGCCGAAACTTAAAAAAATAAGAAAAAAGGCCCACAAGGCCTTTTTCTTTCAAGTATTGCTGCCCTTTGGGCATTAGGACCCTAGGGGGCAGCATTTGAGCAATGAAAAAGAGGCCGAAGTAGGCCAAGAGGCAATCCGAGTTGGTACCAACCACTCGGACTGCATGTACTTGGCCAAAATGAGGCCCAGGTACCTCCAAAAGGGCCTAGTGGAGGAATTTGGCCTTGGGGGTACCTCGGCTCACCCCAAGGCACTTGGAGAGGCTCATGGGCTGGCCGGACTGCTGGTTTCAGCCTACATAAGCTGAGGATGCAGTCCGCCACTCTCACATTTGCATGAGGAGTGTCCATGCTGCCCAAGTGAGCTCACAGGAGCACTTTTGCACTTGGAGGGAGGAGGGAGGAACCCATGCTAATGGGAGAGCTTGAAGGAGATTAGGCAGTAGTGGGGAGGACTCTGGAGGATAGTGATGGTGGGAGAGGCACTTAGGAGGTGATCCACCATATCCCCCCTGGGTATACGAGGGAAGGAGAGGCTAGAGGAGCCCCATTGGCCCTCCTAGAGGGGAGGACTCCATAGCCATAGCTGAGGAAGCTTGCCATAGCCTGGGAGAGAGCAAGGAAGGAGGAGAGAGGGGTTTGGAGAAGAAGGAAGTCATAGCCAAGAGGGGATTGTGCAAGGAGTGGAAGCTTCATCAAGAGGATACCAACATCAAGGAATCAACAAGGCGAGAGGAAGGAAGAGACTTCTTCATCTTCATCTTCGTCTTCTTCTTCTTCTTCTTTTTCTTCTTCTTCTTTTTCTTCTTCTTCTCCTCCTTCTCCTTCTTCTTCTACTTCCTCTCCTCCTTCTTCTTCTTCTTCGTCCTCATCACTCCCTCCTTCTTCCTTCTCTTCTCTCCCCCCTTCATGTCC